TATAAAATCCCTGTTAGTAGCTGTTCTCTACTTGCTTTACCTGTAAAGGGTTAAAAAGTCCATAGATAAAAGGAAGTGAGTGGGCACCTGACCAAAAGAGACAATGGGAAGGCTAGAACTTTTTAAAATTAGGAAAAAAATTCCCCTTTGTCTGTCTGTGTTGTTTTCCCGGAGAGCAGAGACAGGGCTGGAACTATGCTGTAAGAGCTTGGGACAGGTATGAAAAATTATCAGATCATACCTAGAAACTACTCATTTGAAACCCCTGATATGTAAGTAGATCAGGAAATGTCCAGGACAGTGGTTCCCAAACTTGTTCCACTTGAACCACTGGTCTAGGAAGACGGGATTAGGTTTATCTCTTTTATTTCTTTATGGTTTGTGGACTCCTCTGTGCTAACCCCAGGTGCTTTTGTTTTGCTTGTAAGCTTTAAGCTGGGCCTCAAGAAAGCTGTTCTTGATTCTTAATTTTTGTACTTGCTCTTTTTAGATCTAGCAATAGCCTGAGTTTTCAGATGTATTTTTTTCTTTTCTTTTCTTTTTTTTTAAATAAAATGTACCTTTTATAAGAATCAGATTGGGGTTTTGTGTTTTAAGAGGTTTGGGCATATGTTGTTTAATTAGCTGATGGCAACAGCTGATTTCCTTTGTTTTCTTTCTCAGCTCTTCCCTGGGGGGAGGGGAGGTGAAAGGTCTTGAGGGTACCCCACAGGAAGGAATTCCCAAGTGCGCCTTCCTGGGCCCTCAAAGGGGTTTTTGCACTTGGGTGGTGGCAGCACCTACCCATCCAAAGTTAGAGAAAAGCTGTAACCTTGGGAGTTTAATACAAGTATGGAGTGGCCAGTATTGATTTTTAGAATCCTTGCGGGCCCCCACCTTCTGCACTCAAAGTGCCAGAGTGGGGAATCAGCCATGACAGTGTGTCAGCAATTGTGTTTGTAGGCACTAATACTGTGTGGAGGGATGGGGTCTATTGTCTTGCTGGGATGTTTTCTAAGCATTGTGCAGAGTGGTGGGGGCAGAGTCCCACCCTGTGAGCAGCCTTAGACTGGGACTGCTGTGAAGAGCCAGCCCCTTAGGGCAGCGGCTGAATGTTCCTGCAGCCAACTTCTCTAATTCTCGATATCCTTGTGAGTTACTTATGTGCATGGGGGGCACACAGCATATATTACCAGGGCAAGAGCTAATTCTGGCGGCAAAGGGGTTTAATGACGGGGCTACTCAGAAGACCTTTCCCCACACCTCTCTCAGTGGCTCTTAAGAAATGGCTAGGTGATTTGTCCAATTGTATTTTTCCCTCCCTCCACTTGCAGCACTTGCGATCCCAAGAGCTGTCTGCTCCTCCTGTTCTCCCATCAACCAAGAGTTTTTATGCTTCTCCCACATTAGCTGCTGAGATCCCCTCTGGCCTAAAACCTGGCTGTTTAGAGGAGATTGCAAAGGAGGAATTTTCTCTTACTTGATGGGACACTATCAGCTTTCTATCTACTGTGCCTCATGCCTGATCAGCAAAGTAAGCCCAGCCCCTACTTTCAATCCAAAAGTGGAGGCAAGATTAGGAAACAGAAATAAAATGAACAAATTGAGGGGCTTACTCTAAAATCTGTTAATCTATGATACTTATATGGCCCCCCATTGCTTTGGAATAAATTGTATACTAAATCTCTAGTCTAAAGAATCTTTTAACGGTTATTGTGCACATATTTATCTAGACCGTTTTAAGTAGATTTTGTTTCTCTGACAATCAATAATGTCTCTAAATCACTTTAAAATATATTGGGAAAACCAGGGCCTATGATGGAAGTGCTGACACATGGCAGTACAAACAGACATGTTATAATGAACGTACTTATATTTAATCCTATCTATATTTAAAAATTGCATATCTAGGTTGAAAGGGGTCCCCTTATCGTTTTATGCCCCATTTTTTCTGCTGAGTTTCATTTAGCATTTCATCCCCTTTAGATACCACTCAAGATGACCATGCATGCATGCTGATCCCCTTAAATGATTTCCAGCAGAAACCAATGTTCAGAAACTCATAACATTATATTTCATGCCCTTGCCCTTTCCCATACTTTGCAGACACAGAGGGAAAAACTGCACTATGCCAGTAATCTCATTTACTGCTATCAGCTTGCCTCCCTAACCCAGGCAGCAGAAGGCTGTCATTATACCCCATCTCACAATCTTTGTACATTTCAAAAGAAAATCTGCTTTTCAGAGCCATTAAAAAAAGGAAGCAGTCATTGGTTACTCTACCAATAGTGACACCCTCAAGTGAGGCTCTAACATTGGTAACTAAGGTGTGTGTTATTGCTATTGATCTAAAATTCCTACTCTGGAACAGAATCAAAATTTCTGCATGTAAAACAAGAATAGACCTTTTTCTAGGTTTTTTTGACTGGAGAAAAAAAGAATCATAGAACAATTTAATTCTGTTAGAGAAGTGGCAATCATTCACACTAACCAAGGTCCAAAGGTAACTTACATTTTTATATAGTCATTTTTAATATTTGTAACTATTCTTATTCATGCCTGTCAACTATATTTTATTCAAAGGGATGTAAATACTACAGTATTAAGTGTATCTCCTGAGTGCTACATGGCCTTGCTATTGTATAGCTTTCTATTACTGTAAATTTTTGACAAATCAGAAATGCAGAATCATAAAATTAAAGTTGTAAGAAACTTTGCACAGTGAAGGCCATTTAGCAAGAGCTCAAACACAGTGAAGCAAATGCAAGTCCCAAATGTAGGGCAATGTTCCCATTGCTATTCTGGTTACAGCAAACCTCAGCTTGAAATGAAATTGTTCTAGAAAGAAAAATAAATAACTATGGGACAAATACTGGTTTGGAAGATCATAGAGCAAGTGAACACAGAGTTCCATGGGGCTGCTCTGCACAGGGAAACACAATGGGATCTGATATGGAAGATGGGCAGGGCCAACCTTCCCTTTGAAGGGGGATGCAGGCAGCCCTGGGGTTATTGCAGCTGCTACAAGTCTTACCAGGAAAGATTCTTCCCTTCTAAGAACCCTAGGTCCTGCCAGAGGCAACCAGTTCACAAGCCCACTACTCAAAGGCTACGTCTACATTTATGGCAATGTGTAGAGTGTTTATACCCTGCTAGCATGGGTATAAATGGCAGTTGTAGAGAGCGAGACACAGTTTAGGCAAGTAGAGTGCCCTACACACGTGACCCTGCAGGCTCTCTATGACCAAACAGTGCCTCTCACATCTACACTGCTACTTATAGCAGTGAAGGGTCCTGCTGACTCCTATCTCCAGAAACCTTTCCCTGGTGAAGTGAAAGTCTCCGGCAGCAGGTAAGGGCTCTCGCAGTGGGGAGCAGCCAGACCCTTTCCCTGCTGCCAGAGCCTGTTAACTCTATTAAAGTCAATGATGTTGTACAACAATAAACAAGGGAAGGATTTAGTTCCCAAGGTGGACTGACATGCTCTCCCATTTGCTAATCAGTGAGTTAACTCAACTGGGTTTGTTGTCTTTCAATATGCGAAGTGATGGGCATTCTCTCCACAGCATTTGGAGTGAGGCTCCACAGCCCATAGACTTCAGAGAGTTTCAGACTTTCCAGCATCACTTTTGTTTTACACGTGCCTTCAATTATAGTTTGACTCTCGAAGGTATCTCCTCTAGTTCACATTTTATTCTTCTCTCACCCTGGTAAGAGACTCTAAGGGTAGCCTTTGCAGGGACTGTAATGGGTAAGGAGAGGTCAGGGTATGGGAATAGACATTCCTGATAACCTCTTTTGTGCAGAAAGGAATTTTGTAGCTGCAGACCCCACTGCTCTCCCACTCTTCACATGGACTGACTGGGTCCTCACTCTAGCCTGGAGTCTGTTGAATTAGACTTATAAGTGCGAGGGGTAATAACTCACATCCTTATCTCACCAGGTTTAAAGCACAGACTTTGCATTTACTGTTTTTCTCTTATCTGAGGCTTTGTTAGTGTCATTTCACCCTGTTTTGATATGCTTTTATTGGCGTAAGAATTCCCACCATGTGGTTTGTTTGGTTTTTGGATGTGAGGATGCTTCCAGTGACCAGGCCAGGTTTCTCTCTTGTTCTGCAAACTCTTCGTTAACATCTGTGCAATGTTTCAATTAAATGAGCACTATGGGAAAACCTACCAACTGCCCTGAGAGTACAACAAACAGCTTGGCAGCATGTCAGCTCATATACATTTTCTTTCTGCTTGTTTCTCACCTGAACCTTGCTAGATAGAAGAACCACACTGTCACACCAGAAAGGTGAAACACTTGTGCCATGAGGGACAATCACATCAGTTCCTCAGAAGGCTCCATCTCTCCCTGTCTCTGTTCAGGCTGAACAGGCACACAGAGTAGCTGAGCACCACCACATCTCTTAAAATTAATTATTTTTAAAAATCTGTTTCCTTACACATGAAAAAAGTGCCAGGGAGGACAAACAAACTGGAGAAAACAAATTTAAAACGGAAACAACAGTAATTTAGGGTTTGACCTGCACCGTACTCCTGCTGGCCTCTGCGGTCCAGCTCAGCCCAGGCAGCACTACCTTCCTCCACCATGGTTCTGTTCCCCAAGTCATATTAGCCCGCAGGTGTTCTCCTCATCTCAGACCAGTCAGACAGCCCCTCTCCCTGCACTTCAGACCAGCCGCTGCAGCGCCCTGCTATGCTCCCTCTCCTCCTCCCATTACCCACACTCTGACAGACCAGCCCTACTCTCTCAGCAGCACTCCCCACTTCAGGGCCCCCTTCCAACGCCGCACACCTCTCGCAGCCTCCCCCCGCCGCCTCACCCCTGCCCTCCCCGGCCAGCAGGATTACGCGGCCGCGCCCTCCTCCCGTCCCCCAGTCAGAGCCCCCAGTGCGGCTGCAGCCCCGCCCCTGGCCCCGCGGCCCGCCCCGCCCCGCGGACTCGGCGGAGGCAGCCGGCTGAGCCCGCCGCTGGCAGAGCGCGGCGCAGCGGGGGCTGCCTGCGACTCCTACCTGGGAGCGGGAGCCGAGCTCGGGCGCTCTCCGGGCGGTCACCAGCTTGGCCGTGGTCTGCAGGTTGATGGGGGCGCTCTGCGGGGGCTCCACGCCGGCCGCGCTGCAGCCCAGCCCCCCGTTGATGTGCGCGGTCACCATCGCGATGGGCGCCTTGGCCGGCAGGACGGAGATGGCCAGGCTCTGGCTCTGGCTCTGGCTGCCGCCGCCGCCGCCGGCGGGCGCTTTGAGAAGCGCAGGGACCCCGCCGCCGGGCTTGGTGTTTCCGCTGCCCCCGCTTCCCACCAGCACCGCCGCGGGGCAGCTCCGCACCGCCAGCTTCTGCCACAGGGAGAAGGAGAGAGAGAAGCGCGAGCGTCACCACCGGCCCTGACCCCGCAGCGGCACAATCCCCTGCCCCATGGCCCCCAGCCCGGCCCGGGGCGGAGAGGAGCCGAGGGGCGCCTTGGCACCGCCGCGAGCGCATGGCAACATCTGTAGCCAGCCCGGCTCTGCCCGGGCGCTGCGGCAGCAGCCCAGGGGCGGCACTGCCCCCTCCCGACGGAGCCCTGACCCGGAGCAGCCCTGCCTGCCACTGCCGCCTGCTCCAGCCGGGGGCGCCCCACTGAGAGCCTGGCTGCCTGTGCCTTCTGCCTCCGGGCTACCTCATGCTCCCGGAGCCGGGCTGTGCACCAGGAGAGAACAGAGACGCAGAGCCAGCGGCTACCAGCGCTAGCATTTCTGAAAGGATGAAGGCGAGCTGGCCAGATCTTTAGCATCATTCTCTTCCCCCTCCCCAGGTTGCTGTTAACAACGTGCTGGCTTAGTGTAGATTTTTATTTGTCTGATCAAATTCTTTACCTGTTAAAGTGGATTTTTACGGGTGGGTTTGTTTGTCTGGGGGGAATAGGGGAGAGAGTTGCTTAATTCTTTCTAACAAATGTATTTGAGCATAAGCTTTCATGAGCTACAGCTCACTTCATCAGATGCATCGCTGTAGCTCACGAAAACTTATGCGCAAATAAATTTGTTAGTCTCTAAGGTGCCACAAGTACTCCTTTTCTTTTTGCGGATACAGACTAACAGGGCTGCTACTCTGAAACCTGTCTTAATTCCTCCTGAATCACCTTCTGAAGGGGTTTTGGTTGTGCAGTTCGACAACGCTGAGCACAAGGTCCGTGACTAGTGGCCACATCACTACACGTGATAAATAGTAATTGATAAAAAGATTTCAGAGCAGGCTAGCCAGTATTTTCAAACTGTCATCTTTCATTACACTGCAAACCACATTACATCTTCCAGTCTCACCCTACACTTTTTAGTTTCCCAATTCTTCAGATTTCGTCTAGGATTTACACATTTTACTTTTCTGTATCTTGTCACCGCATTTTTTAAATGTGCATTTTCTTTAAGATTTTTTAAAAAAACTTACATTATTTTTCAAGCTATTGGGGTAATGCATTCTAATGAAAGCCAAAAAACCTGTTACTTTTTAAGGCATATAAAAATGTCACAGTTGTCAAAAGATATTAATATTGCTGAGAACTTATAAATAGCTACTTTCTTTTGGATCAGGTTGTCTTCTACTATTCCATGTTATGCTGACATGCTCATGCCTTTATAGTTGCCAAAGTACTGGATACAAGAGACTTGTGTCAAACCTGTTTTCATCTTTATCTCATTTTAGCTGTATTAAACATAATCACTCATATTCAGAGTAAGATACAGCTTTCTGACTAAGATTGCAGCTTTGCAGTAATATTGTTTCATTTTATATCATATGTGATATATCATGAAAAGCTCATAATGGAGACCATGGGCAAAATTCTGCTTTCAGTTACAACAATATAAATCTGTTACTTAGAAATAAATAGAGGTGGGGGGGAGGTGAAATCCTCACTCTATTCAATTCAATTCACAGCTGCCTGTGTGTCCATGTGCCATTCACTTTAATGGGGCCAGGATTTCCAGTAGTGTAAGTGAGAGCAGCATATGTCCCCTGCATCTACATTTTACTTGTTTGTCATATTTTATAACTGGATTTTAATGTCTACCCTAAGAAGTTCCCAATATTTAGATTGCCAGGATGGGAAACTTCACATCACAGAAATGTACAAATATGCTGTTCTGCTACATACTTTCACGATAAGCATACGGACATTCATTGTTTTCCTCATATAACATTTAAAAAGGTACCAGAATACTTTAAATTTTCTCTGACTCAATTCAACAGAACAAGCAAAACTGAAGATATGCAGTATTTGGAACAACAGTGGAAACAAAAGCAAGTTAAGAAGCAAGCAGGATACTTTCCTTACACAGTTTAATACTCAATAATTGCTTTTCAACTTGCTGCAAAGGGGAAGAATAGAGACAATACAAAGCAGAAATTGTGTACAATTAAAATGTTTAGCTGTTCCTTTATTCACATTAATATCAGCCTTATTTTCCATGGTGATCCACACATCCCACTGAGAGACATATTAATAATAGTTTCTTTCTGACACTATTTTCATAATAAACTGATGAAAATGCCTATTTGTATATCTGCACCAGAAATAGCTGAAACATGATTCGTTTTGTTTGTTTTAAATTCTAACTCAGAGCAAACATTAAGTGGTTCTTATGGTTGACCCCTCTGAATTTTTCCTTGTTAAAGGGATATTTGTATTCCCCTTTAAGGATAAGTTTTGACTTCTATCCTTAAGAAACGTAAATGCAGAGAAGAATGTTGCCACTATATTAAACCTGAAATAACCAACCAACTTATTCCAAATACTTCCACTAAGTGGACAAAATAATACTTCTTATGATGAATATACTGAAATTATTTGTTTAAAAAGGCATGAATTTTAGAAGCTAGATGTGGAAACATATCTGAGTGGTAGATATTGAAAGATTAGTTTCAGAAAGCTAAACTCACCTGTTTGGAAGAGGTGACATTTTTCATTTGTGTCTGATTGAATTGTTCCATGGAAAATGCATCTAATAACACTAAAACATCTCACTTAGATTCTTTTGGTAAAAGAATAGAAACTATATGGTTTTTCTTTTTTAAAGAACCTTTTTTTAAAATGTTATATCCCAGGAAGTGCTGATAAAGGCATCTTGGCAGAAACAATAGAGTGTAGTATGAGAGGTTAAAAAAATCCCCAACAAAACCTACATTTGCTGTATTATATTTCTGCCAAATTAATTAAGAATATTCTTGTTTCTAAAAGACACAATATCTCCATTTTGGGAATCAGTCAGCATAACATATTCTCTGACACTTTTGGAATGATGAATAATAAGAATCTAAGCATGCTTTGGGCATAACAGTCAAAAACATGTACGGTCATAATAGGGGAGCCAAAAAAAATATTGGCTCTAAATGCTGGAAAGCAGCACACTGCTTCTCATCTACACATATCAGTCCCCACAATACACCAGTTTTGAAGCAGCGCCTTTTCAATAGCAGCACAACTTTCATTTTCACTGCAGGATGCCAGAGGCAAACTGGAGTTTGAGATATGTATGCCAGTCACATGCAAACACACTTCAGTGTGCTGGAAAGCTGCTGCTTGTTTATGATTTTCTGTATTCTGCATGGCAGATTCCTCTTCTTAGATTTCAACTATACAAAGCAGTGCTAATATTTTTTTCCCAAATGTATCAAAATAGCTTTACCCTATTGTTTGTTTTTAAATGCAAAAAATTGTGTTCCACACAGGTCTGTGCTCACAAAGGTTTGTAGGATGTGGGGGAAACAGGAATGCAAGAGTTTTACTCTCATTTCAGGACATTTGGAATAAGTGAGGCTCCTACCTGCTACTCAGATGCTAATTATTAAACAGATTGCTGAGTTTCATATTAAAGAAAAGGGAATAGGGGTTTGAAGAATGCTGCTTTCAGAAGCCACAGGCAAAAGCAAATAGCTATTGTGTCTCAGTACAGATGCTGGAACAAACATGCACCGACACCCGCATTGGGGAGTTGATATTACCATTCACTGTAAGTTAAGGTTTCAGTTTCTCCACTTTTACTCTGTTGTAGTTTACATCATTTTTTGGTAACCTTACAAGGTCTGATGTGCCGTGTATATCAATAGCAATCCACACATGTACCTATGCAGATTGTTAAGTAAGAATGTGATCAAATTCTAAAACATATACTCTGCTACTGATTATCTTCCCCTGTGGCAGTGACTTTAAACTGATACAACAAGCCTGCCAACAAACCTTCATGTTTCCAAACTAAGATGTGACCTGTATAAAAGGGACTTAGAATTCACTGCCCATTGCTGTCTATATTGTAACCACTTCTGCTTTAGATGTAGACTTTGTTCCAGTAATCCTTCCAGAATGATATTGTCTGACAATGCACTTTTGCTATGAAAAATTGCAATCGTTTCCAGAGCAACATCTATTATTTTCCTGAGCTGGCCTAGAAGGAAAAATGTTGTGTATGAGAGTTTGTCCAGCTCTCAGAAGAATGGTAACCTATTATAAAACCAAAGCGAAGGCCTACCAATTAATAATTTAATATTTGTCACAAACCTAAGGCACTGCATGTGAGATAGCTGAATAGAGATTCCCTCAGAGAGGAGGGTCTTGACCTCTGTTAATTTACTCAGTTCTCACAATAAAACTCAGTTGAACAATTGACTCTTTAATATTCTAACAGTGACAGACCACAAGCACATGCTTATTCTGGCAATAACCACAGTATATGGGATGTTTCAAGATTTGTGGTTTTGGTAACAGTATGCATTTTCATATGCTTTTCAATGTGTTTCCAGTTGCCATTTTTGATACCCAGCTGTGAGCAATGACCCTTATTCATTTGGGCCTTGATCTGCAAACACTTATGATCCTACATAACTTTATGCAAAGAAGTAGCCCTAGGGTAAGTCTACATTACGAAATTAGGTCGAATTTATAGAAGTCGGGTTTTTTAGAAATCGGTTTTACATATTCGAGTGTGTGTGTCCCCACAGAAAATGCTCTAAGTGCATTAAGTGCATTAACTTGGCGGAGTGCTTCCACAGTACCGAGGCAAGCGTTGACTTCTGGAGTGTTGCACTGTGGGTAGCTATCCCACAGTTCCTGCAGTCTCCGCTGCCCATTGGAATTCTGGGTTGAGATCCCAATGCCTGATGGGGCTAAAACATTGTCACGGGTGGTTCTGGGTACATATCGTCAGGCCCCCCTTCCCTCCCTCCCTCCGTGAAAGAAAGGGCAGACAATCGTTTTGCGCCTTTTTTCTTGAGTTACCTGTGCAGACGCCATATCACGGCAAGCATGGAGCCCGCTCAGGTAACCGTCACCGTAAGTCTCCTGAGTGCTGGCAGACATGGTACT